TTTGATTTTTTTAGGACATGAAAGATGCCGAGAAACTTGGAAGGTAATCTTTTATTTGCCACGTGTCGTTATTCGGTTTGATTAGACCTTCCAGCTTACAACTCCACATCACGCGTATATTACCCTGTGATAATATTTCTCTTTTGGTTAGTTTTTTTATATCAAGAATTTATTATTATCGCTGGAAATTCTATTTGATGAGATGATATGTGTGAATTCAACCGATATACTGTGCAAGTATTGAATATAAGCTAATTTGTAAGAATTGTTTGACCAACAACAACTATCAGCCGATTTTGAGTCTTTAACCAATGAGAAAAGTTGTAAAATTTAAAGTTTTATGTATAAAGCCAAAAGTCAGATCCTGCCGATGATTTTGCAGAATCGATTAATACTATTAATTTAATATTAAAGTATAATAATTCAAAAAAAATGGGTTTAAAATTTTAATAATCATAACATGGCGCCCGGATGAAATAAAAAATTCATCCGAGGATTCAACATGCGTCCGATCACTTTCTAAAATGAACACGGATTGAATTTCGAATAGAAAAAAGTTGAACCATTTATAAACATCTCGGGAAATTTATTTATAAATACTTTTGGAGTTTATTTATTATTTATTCCTTTTTTTTTTTGGTTTTTTTTTTTTGAAAAACAAATTTAGTTGTGAATGCCAATATATCTAGTTAAATATGAAGTGAGTAAATACAAATCTAGTTGTTTATGTCTTCCTCAGCTGCCAATCGTCTATAACCTCCAGTGCCATGCGATATTTCCGGACCTCGTTTCACTGCTGCCCACATTGAACTAAAGAATCCGCCATTATCCTTTTGTTTCTTTATACCACCCTTATTGTCCTCCACAAATATAGGTTTCGACCACCACTTCAGCATCAAGCTCGAGCAAACCACACTGACACTAGAACATGCCATAGCTGCTCCTGCCATCATCGGATGCAAATGATACCCCCATGGAAGAAAAATTCCCATTGCCAATGGAATGCCTATAATATTGTACATACAAGCCCACAAAAAGTTATAACGTATTCTACGAAGTATTGTTCGTGACAGGTCGATCGCCGCCATCACATCTGTGATATCCGAGCGCATAAGCACAATGTCTGCAGCCTCTATCGCGATATCTGTCCCGGAACAAAGTGCAATTCCTACATCGGCTGCTGCCAATGCTGGTGAGTCATTTATTCCATCTCCGACCATTGCCACCACATTGCCTTCGAGTTGAAGTGATTGAACTATCTGCGTTTTACCCTTGGGCGAAACGCTCGCGTGAACATCGTCGATACCACATTGTGCCGCTATGGCTTGTGCTGTAAGCATTTGATCTCCAGTCACCATTGAAACCGAGATGCCCATGTGACGTAGTGCTCCGACGGCCAATTTAGATTCGGGTTTTATGATGTCAGAAAGAAATATGATTCCAGCAAATTCATTATTTATGGCCACCAAAACAGAGGTACGCCCAAGGCGTTCTTGTGCTTCTTTCTTTTCGATAGCCGATATTGGAATTGAAATGTTTTTACGATGAGACAGGTATCTCGCATTGCCCACTAAAATGTCAAAAGCTTTTTCCGCTACATTTGTAGATGATGTCAGAGGATTAATCGTGGAGGAGGAAGTATTTAGAATCACCGTGCACCTTATACCCAGCCCCGTGAGAGATTCGAAATCGGTGACCTGAGCACTATACACATCCACACCTAAAAGAGCCTTGCCGTAATTAGCTATTGAAATCCCAAGAGGGTGCTCACTGAGAGATTCGGCTGCTCCGACGATGGAAAAGAACATCTCCTTGGTCAACTCTAAATCACTCGACATTATCTCGAAATAAGAAACCTCCAGTTGTCCTTTTGTCAGGGTGCCAGTTTTGTCAAATACAACTTTCGTGACTTTATTCCCTGCTTCGAGTGGACCGCCTCCTTTGATCAATATACCATGTTGAGCGCCAACACCGGTACCGACCATCACAGCTGTTGGAGTGCTAAGGCCAAGAGCGCAAGGACACGCAACCACGATGACGGAAATGCACAGCTTGAGACAAACCATGAAATAATTGTTGCTCTCCCTGAAGATTTCCGGAAGAGGATCCATGACTTTGGAGAGGATCATCCAACCAAAGAATGTTAAAACGCCCAAAACTATGACCGCTGGCACAAAATACCCGGCAACGGTGTCTGCAAATTGTTGAATGGGCGCTTTTGATGTCTGGGCTTCTTCGACAAGTTTAACGATTTGAGATAGAGCGGTGTCACTCCCGGAACGGGTAACCTCCATTTCAAGAGCCCCCTGGATATTGACCGTACCGCCAATGACCAAATCGCCTGTCTTCTTATTAACGGCGTTAGCTTCACCGGTGACCATCGACTCGTCCACACTTGAATTACCGGAGACAACTGTACCATCCGCGGGAATCTTATCGCCTGGCACAATTTTCACGACATCCCCCACCTGAACTAATTCGGTGGGAATCTTTTTTTCCCCGATAGTCTCGCCCGTCTTAGAGTCCTTGATTAATATGATGGTGGTGGTGGGTGTGAGGGACATTAATTTGGACAAGGCAACCGAGGTCTTGCCTTTTGCCAAATTTTCTGTATACCGACCAAGTGTAACAAACGTAATCAACATCGTTGAAGTATCAAAAAATACTGACGGTCTTTCGTGCTCGAAGCTGATCAGCGCGTATAACATCGTGGAACACGAAAACACGAAGGCGGAGGTGGTACCAAGCACTATTAAAACGTCCATGGTAGTGCTCCCATGTTTTAGGGCTTTGAATGACGCTTCGTAGAATCTTCGACCCACACCGAATTGGACCGGAATGGTCAATGTGAGGCAAATAAGATCTCCACTATATATTCCGGGGAGCAGTTCCACGTCCACTAAAGCAGAACCCCACCCGAACCCGGGAAGCACCATCGAGATAAGGAACACTGGAATCGCAAACATCAAGGACCTGTAAAATGCTGACCTCCACCCTGTGATCTCCTTGGTACGGGTCAAAGACTCCAATTGAATCTTTCGACTACTGTCATTGATCAATGCGTTCACTCCGAAACTATCTATGCGATCTACAATATCTCGAACACCTAACGATACCTTGTCGAATTGAACGGTTGCAATCGAGGTGGAGAACTCTATGGATACGCTCAAGACTCCAGGAACCTTAACCAATTCCCTTTCTATCATGTCTGCTTTCGAAGGATCCTGCATTCCAAATATCTGAAGCTCCACAGTATCCTCTCGCTTCGGTTTTATTAGGGTCGCTTTAAACCCAATACCATTGATCATTTCAGCTATCTGATATTCACTCAGCATGTCTGGATCATACTCCACTGTCGCTCTCTCAGAAAGCAAAGACACTTTGACAGACACCATCCCCGGAACAACTCTCAAATGAGATTCTATGTTATTGACACAAGAAGCACAGGTCATACCGCTCACCTGTATTTGACTGGTCTTAATCTTTTCGGAATCAAAATAGTGAGTCGAAATTGTCTTGAGAGGATGATACTCTTGATATGGAGAATTCTTTAAGGTGATGTTGGTAAATGCCGCAAATTCAGAGGCTAATGAGGATTTCAGATTTGAGTCTGAAGTGACTGGCACATCAAATCCACAATTTTTAATTGTCTCTATTATTTTTTTCTCGGTGACTAGATTTTCGTCGTACTCTACAAAGGCATTTTCATCTTTCAAATTGACTATCACACTGTTGATCCCCGGGATTGACTTTAGTGAATTTGTTATCGAGTTTACGCAAGAATTACAAGACATTCCCCGAACCGGGAGTACGGTTGATTTTCCGATTTCACTATATTGACCATTCTGTTGCTTTATCGGCACTTGGAATCCACAATTTTCGATGCGTTCGACAATCCCGTTTTGCGAGATCACAGCAGAATCATAATCGATAATAGCATTTTCGTCTTTTAGACTAACATTGATGCTATTTATACCGGGTACCGAATGCAAAGCTCGCGTAATAGAATTCACGCAAGATGTACAGGTCATTCCCTTGACAGGTAGGGTGATTGTTAAATTTTCAGAAATGATTTTGCCATCGGATTTCTCTTTTGAAGGGGATGATGTGGTAGTGAAACCGACATTCTCAATAGCCTCGATAATCCTGGCCTTGCTTATGCTACTAGCATCATATGTAACGACTGCCTCCTTATTTTCCAGACTGACACCAACATTCGATATTCCGGGCAACGAAGAGACTGATTGTGTGACGGACTTTACGCAAGACTGACAAGTCATGCCATGCACCGGAATGACGACCACTACGATAAAGGAGGTCGCTTGACCATTAATAGAAATCTGTTTCCTACTGTCAACGGTAGGACTTGATAAAGAGCCCTCTTGTCCGTTTACACTACCAAGATCCTCAATTATAGTAGCAGCTCTTACATGAATATCTGTCATAATCAAATTTTCGGAGACAATTTGAAAAGTTCTGACTCACTCAAAAATAAAAAGAAAAAAAAAAACCACGATTCTTCCTGTGAGTTTAAAATTTAAGGCAGGTAAATTTTGTAAATTCGTTTCTTTTTTTTTTTTTCAATGTGTTGGAAATAGAAGACAGAAAGAATGGAATAAAGTATATACAGAGTATGAAACGAATGTAGAGTTTGATAATATGCGCAAAGTCTGTAACACGGTATTTACCTTAAGGAAAAGGATGCATTTTTAAGTTTATTTCCTACATACTGTATTTCACTGGAAAAAAAAAATATCTACTGTGGCTATGTGACAGAAATCGTATCATAAATTACTTGAAAGGCGCTGCAGTATCACAAATGATGTGCATCATTGAAAAACGCACACATGTATCTCTGTACGTAAGTTTCGGTCCTTCTATAAATGTATTATAATGAATATTAGAACCATTAAGAAGACGTTTCTGTCAGACATCAATAAACAAATTCAAAATTGTTGTTATCGTTATCACTATTAATAACTGCAATAATCATTCCATTTTCTGTTTGGAATTATATCTTTTTACCGTATTTGTTTGACATGCACATAGGTATCATACAGGTTTCAATAGTCACCTTTTTGAGATTACCGATTCTGTGGCAGTGTTTGGCTAAGCTTTAGTCGACCTCGGCTCGGTTTGTATCACCTGAAATCGGGGAAGCGTGTGTAAAAAAATATATATACTGTATATAACTAATTCCACGATCAAATCATTGATTTTAATAATTGCGCAAATTTTTTGATAGACGCACTTAATTATTACTTTGGTGATCAAAAAAACGTGAGAATGACTGTTTGAATGGAGAATATGGTTACTGATCATTTAGTCGAGCCGAAAAAAAAATTAAACTGATAATTAATCAAATCACATTACCTAACATTATCCTACCGTTATTATCAGAAAATTTATTATCACCATGTCATTTTTTGAAATACAATTTTAAAGAATTATAAAGAATTATCACTCTTAAAAAAAAGAATGATCATAACGAATTATTATGTTATTAAAAAAGAATTATCGTAAAGAATTACTTATCTTAAGTTATTTTATCACAAAGGATTTCATTTTATTATAAAGAATTATTTAATTATAATAAATTAATAATCTTATTTTTAATAGATTATTTTATTATATAAAAATTAATTGTATTTATTAATTATTAAGGAAAAATAATATTTTAAAGTTATTATTAAAAGATGTTTAAAAAACTTTTTTAATCAATTTTCTGATTATATACAAAAAAATATTAGCAAAAAGCTTAACAATTGTTTGATTAATAAAGTCATCATACTTTTCTTAAAACTATTTGAAGAATATTTTTGAGAATTATTATTATCATTTTTCTCTTGTCTATAATTTTTTTCAAAAACTTGATCTTTATTAATTAAAAAAAATTTAAAGTAATACCTTTTCTATCAATGCAAAAAAATTTCAAAAAAAAAATATATATATATATATTTATTGATATTTATTATCTTTAAAACAAGTTTTGAAAAAGATTTTTTAAAAGAGAAAAAATTTTTATTGACTGCTTTTTTTCTTATAAAACTTTTATTTTTATAATTTTCTAAGAATTTTATCTAACTTATTTTAATTCTAAATTTTTATTTGATATAAATCTTTTCAAAATCAATTGATTGATATAAAATATATTGATAAAAAAAAAAAAGTAAACAAACTTTTATTTATATATTTAATAATATTATTAAACATTAAAAAAAGTTATTAGTTTATATATTTTTTATAAAATTTAAATCAACTATAACTAAATTCGATAAAATTAATAAAGTTGAATGAAAAAATCTTTAAAAAAACTTTAATTTGTTCAAACTATAAGTTTTTTTTTTTTTATTTGTTTAATCAAATAAAATTTAAAATAAAAATCATTTTCTTATGCTAATTAAATAATAAAATTAAGTAATTATTAAAGTATTTTAAGTTTTAATTCTTTAAATATTTTAATAATATATATATATATATACTGTATATATATATATATATATGGATACAGTGTGCATCAAAAAAAAATTGGACAAAAATTCATTTGACATAATTTAATTTATTTCTATCAATTTTAGTTAGACCTGAAAAAGCTTAATAAAAATTAGTTATTAGGCAAGTGATCAAGTGCTGATATTTTTTTTTCCTACTTCATTTATCATTTTTTTTTAAAATATCTTGTACTGTGCCACCTTTCAAGTAACAATTGCAACGCAAAACTGTCTTATATTACTGAAATGAGGGGGATATGTAATGTAGTCAAAATATAGTACCAAACGAATATACCATGCTCTACAATTTATAATATAATAAAAAAAATAAAAAAAATGGAAAGAATAGAACATACAGACAATAATGGTCATTCACGAAAAATTAAAAGAAGATTTTCAATAGTTTTGAGACAATATATTCATCATGATTCATTATTATCTTTGAGAACTTTGACAATAAAATTGGAAAATATTGAAAAAAAGTTTCTATCATGATTATTCAGAGGTATTTAAAAAATATGTGTATCAAAAAAAGCTTCCTTTAGTAACACCAATGCTGAGTGACCAACAAAAAAAAAATGAGTGAAATAAATTCAAAAATATATTGACGATAATTGGAACAAAACCATTTTTACTAATAAAATAGATTTTTTTTTTTTTTTTTTTTTTTTTTTTTTTTT